TTTAGGTGGCGTATATATTAAAAGATCGGGAGCTGCTACAATCAGATCAGCTTATTAGCGATGCAGAACTATAACCCATTGAATTTTCTGGCCTTCGGATTATGCTATCAGGTCCGCTCGAGCTGAAATCTGATGCCTCGGTGTAGGATCGAAATTCAGGATCGGGGTCTGCTGAATTTCATAAATAATTGTCCCAGATATACTGTGCGGAATAAGATTTCAAGCTGATGAATCCCAGCTCCCAAATTTATCAGGTGTGGTCAAAAAGTAACAGAACGCATTTTTTCTGGTAAGGGTTTTTGAGAAGGGTCAATGTCAGTGTCTCAACTTTACGCCCTATTTCAGCACTTACGTAAAGATAACACGAATTACATTAAGCATTGTCAATAATACAAGGCAAGGGGACATAAAATTAGATTCCCGAAAATTTACAAAGCACTTGGCTCAAGCAGTCTTAGTCCCAAAGCGTAGCGTTTAATACCTTGCCGGAACAGAGGATCTGACAAAAATGTCTGTTCTAGAAGGAACTCAAGTTGTGGATCTTGAATACTCCTTGGCAAGATATACCACTACATTTGTGATCATTGCATAGGTGTATTGAAACTGAGGTTTTGATGTATGATTGCTTACTTTGTTTCTCTTTTACTCTATATCAACATCAAATTTTAAAAATATATAGGCAAGCCTGTTTTTATCATACATTTTTAAATTACCGATTTTGTGACCAAACAATTTTTGTTTTTAAGTGTGTGAACCATTTTATAGTGGCGTGTGTAGTGACGGACCGCAAATTAAAAAGATACTCATATTTAATTCACAGCAGTTCAAGATTCTTTGTGTCCAAACTCAGGCATGAGGTTGATTCTGTGAATTTTACTACCATCCTTGAATTGTGTACATTTTGTAATTATATTTTCATTATCCTTGGTAAATAAAACTTTAGTTTCACTAACTTTGAACAAAAAGTTGTATTGGATTTGATCTTGAACCTCACCTTCAGTGTTATTTCAAGGTCATTTTTTACCTTTTAAGTAGAAGGCACCGGCAAACGAAGCTTCAAATATACTAAGTGACATATAAATCCGAACACCCAGTTTACATGGTTTTATTTTAATAAAATTTTGTATAAGTACTTAATGAAGCATAATAAGTAAATGATAAAAATTTCAAAATGATTGCACTGCTTTAAAGCCCTTTGACCTTTAATAATGTGTGGATGCACCCTGATGTGCTACGCATTCTCCAACGCGCCTAGGCATGCTTCTGATCAGGTGGTCAATGTCCTCCTGTGGTATCTCATTCCAGGCAACCACCAACTCCTCTCGAAGTGCTTCTAAAGTCTGAGGAGGACGTTGCAAATTGAGCAATCTCCTACCCATCATATTCCACACTTGCTCAATTGGGGATAAGTCGGGAGATCCTGGTGGCCATGGTAACAATGTGACATCATTATGTTGAAAGAAGTCTATTGTGACTCTTGCAACATGTGGTCGGGCATTATCGTGTTGGAAACTTGGATCTGCCAGGGTGTCAAGATAAGATAAAAGATGGGGTTCTAGAAGTTCGTGGATATAACGCTGGGCGTTCATGTTACCTCTGATGAAGATTAAAGGTGACCTGGAACCATAAGCTATAGCACCCCAAACCATAACTCCAACAGTGTGATGAACATGTCTTTCAACAAAAAACTGTGGATTCCTCCTTTCACCACGTCGCCTTCTAACCCTGGCACGACCATCGTGCATGCCTAAACAAAATCGAGACTGGTCACTAAAGACAATACTGTTCCATTCATGATCCAAGAGTGACCGTTGTCTGCGCCACTCAAGGCGATTACGTCGGTGTTCTCGAGTTAAAGGGAAAACCCAGTGTGGCCGCTATGAAAACAAGCCAAAACTTCTCATTCGTCGGTAAACACTTCGCATGCCAATAGGTCTTCCGAGTTCTGCAAACCATTCATTTGCAATGGACCTGGTAGTGGAGAAACGGTCCCTTAAGGCCAATAATCTTAGGCGGCGATCTTCACGGTCTGTTGTTCTACGGCGGCGTCCAGTGCCCCTTGCTCTTTGCGTACGGCCTTCTCGAAGCCATGCCTGACAACACCTAACCACAGTGTCTACACTTCTTTGCACTCTAACTGCAATTGCCCGAAAAGAAAGTCCAGCTTCCCGAAGTCCCACTATACGGCCCCTATCAAACTCACTAAGTTGACGAAATCGTACAGGTCTCCGTACTCTAGGCATCGTAACCGATCGTAAAGGATGTCAAGAACAAAAATCCGCCAACGTTGATTCTTTACTGCGGCTGAAATATTCATTTTTAGAGCGTTAGTGAATTAAAAAAAAGCAGTATAAAAACCGGAATGTCCAACTGATAAGGCTGAAAAATGTTTCACTTGTTATTTACAGTAAGATAAATACATTCACCAACTTTTATTAAAATAAAACCATTTAAACTGGGTGTTCGGATTTATATGTCACTTAGTATATGTGAGGTCAGAGTAAATTCCTAGAAGAATTGCCTAATTGTCACATACCACTGATGCTCCAATTTTGAAAATGCTCTTGAGCTGGTTTGCGGTCTACTTCATGAGTTGTAAATTCAACTAATCCTCTTGAAAACCAGGAAAATTCATAATCATTTCGTTAATCAAAATAGTTTTGGTTCTCGTATGTGATCTTTTGTCAATGACAAGAAACCCAAAATGGAAAAACTCATTTAACCAACCACCATCGTATACGCCTTCGTCCGTATCTACCCTCGCAGCAGCATAAAACAGTGGAAAAGCGGACAAGCAAGACCAACTTGATTGTCCTTAACGACGCTGTTTGCGTTGGCTGATTAAATTAATTGTTCTACTGGAGTCTATCTGCTCTCCAACCAGCTCGTTATTCTAATTTAATCGTTGTATTGTTAATTGCGACCTTAAAAATCTACGCCGTCCACTTCTGATGCTCCTGAGTCAATAAAGGAGCAGTTTAGTCCATAGACAGAAGCTGTTGACATTTGTCTTCAGACAGAGTGCAATCATATCAAATATACAAAGTCTTATAAATAATATTAATAACAATGTTTCTTTATTCCCCAATAGAATAATCCACTTATAGGACAAAGTATATTGAGCCGTATTCATAAAACAAAGGATATCCTTGTACTTGCAAATTTTGAAGGAAATCTTCCAGATGGTACTCGTATTTATTTTATTTGAAGTAAATGCTTTTGCTTGTATAAGCATATCCTTCAAAGCAGTGACATAAGTGAAAGGATATTTATAATCTTCACCTTATACTTGGCATAGGAAGCATATCCTTCAAAAATTCTGAGTGTGGTCAGTAGCAGACTCAACTCCGTAACGAAAGGTGGTCAAACGATGATGGCGGAAATTCTCGATGTTAGGGATGTTAAAACGTACAAACCTCGTTTACCTTCACTTGGTCGTGACTTCAAAAAATTATATCGGTTCGACGAAGCAAATGTACAATGGCTTGCGGACAGATTTTTAGTTGAGAATGAGGAAATTCGAGGAGGAGCACTTTCATGTATTCATAAAATGAAGATATGTCTATCCTATCTGGGTCACCCTGGATATCAACAAGGTATTGGTCAGAAACTAGGGGTTAGTCAAGCAACGGTATCTCGGACTGTGGGTAGAGTTGTGAACCCCATAGTTGCACAGTCGAGCGAATGGATCAAGTCTCCAACTACCAACCATGAACTGATGGAGGCCAAGCAGATATGGCAAAGCATGTATACATTTCCGACAGCAATTGGTGTAATCGATTGTACACATATAGGAATCCTGAAACCAAATCGCCATGGAGATGACTATATCAACCGAAAAGGGAAACCTGCTTTAAATGTGCAAGCCATTTGTGATGCCAGAGAGATGTTCACAGGTGTTGATGTCAGAGTGCATGATTCGAGAATATGGAGAAATTCACAAGCTAGATCACAACTAATAAAAAAAGCAAATGTTGTACTACTTGGCGATGACGGTTATAGTATTGAGCCATGCCTTATGACTCCCTTCAGAAATCCTACTCCAGGTGCAGAAATAAATTATAATAAGCTTTTAAAACAAGAAAGAGTTATAATTGAACGATGTTTCGGCCAACTGAAACGCCGGTTTCCTATCCTACAGTATGTTTTTTGGAAAATGTGCCGAAAATTTTTATTGATTGTATTGTACTCCAAAATGCTGCGAATAGCTTGGGCGATCCTGACTGAGTTAGTTGAACAAGGCCCATATGGAGATGAAGGAAATCACGAGAATGACGAACTTCCTCTCGGTCAACTAGGTCAACAAATAAGAAGAAACTTGAGTAGTATAATAAACAGTTTTACTGATTAAAGTGTATTTATAAGTTATAATAAGTTTTATTTTCGTGAACATCATAAGTTACAGATGGCTTCTGACGCTGCATCATTTCTAATTTCGTTTTATAATACTCTTGTTCTAAAATACTGGTTTGGTACTGCTGTAATAGCACTAGACGTTGCAGTTCTTTTGTAGCTAACCCTTCGGTTTCCTCAGTTTCGTATTTCTCTGTTGCTAATTTTCTTTTTGGTGGCAATGTCTTCTGAACTGGTGGCGCTGTAATACTAACTATTTGCTCACTGCGCTCGGTATATAGTTCACTTCCTTCTTTTTGAACACTACCAACCTGAATGGCATCTCTAATTTTCCCAATTGTAAGATTACAGTCACTTTCCATAGCTTTCAGCAACTTTCTTTCCCAATCTAACAATTTAATTGCTTTATTACCAGTTTTTTTTAGAACTGTTTTTTCTTCAATCTTGACTTCATGTTGTCGATGTTCTTTTATAAGCCTTGAGTATCAAATGGTTTACCGAATGTTGATTCATATTTTTTCAACATCTTCTTCAAGGCATCGTCCTTTCTCATTTTTATTTTTGGAACTTGTGAATTTTGCAAAATAAAGGGAGCAATGGCAATTTCATCTGTGATGAACTGCAGGTTGTTGCCATTATTTTCTAGAGTTTCCTCATCACTTGAGGATGAAATGCTTATTCATTTGATAAAAAACTGAATCCAGTAAAAATACGGAACGGTCTGTGTAAGCTCTGGAGTACAACTGTCAGTGATGCTGAGTGATCGAACTCCCACGTCACTACAAGCTGGAACAAGTCAGGACATGTCGCTCAAGATACAAAAATTCCAGTCAAAATTTTACTTCTTCTTGATATCCTGGGGAGTATAATCATTATGAATATGAAAACAAGGAGATGCTTATACTTCTACCTTTTTCTCCGATGCAAGACCTTATATTTTTACCTTATGCTACCGAGGATATGCTTCTCTTTTATGAATACGGCTCAATGAGTGTATACGAAATCGTGGATCCTCAACACATTATTGAACCAGCTTCTGCAGTCAGTTGACGAATCAAGCTGAAAATTTAATCATTTTACTAGAAAGAGGCACTGACCATATATGCCAAAAATTATTAAAATTGGATAAACATACGTATGTAGGTGTTTACCTTTTTTTGTGACTCAGTATAATTGAAGCAGACTGTTAGATTACAGCAATTTTAACCCCCAACGGTGAAGTAAGAAAAAATTAGTAAACTAATGCATGTCCTAAATGTTATAAGTTAAATAATAGTACTCATTGAAATGACCCAGCATATCTTTGACTTTATCGTGATGTATGTCACAATTCTAGCCTTAAAGCTGGATCACATAAAGTACATAGGTGACTTAAACGTGACCTTGGAGTTTGGTGTTTTAAACTAAACTAGACTAGATCCATCAAGAACCTTCAAGATTTATGGATGAACACTTTTCGTATGGAAACTACTCATAATGCTGACAATGGGTGACTACAAACTGGGTGTAACTGTAACGTTATCTGGGATCAATACAAGTCGAAAAACTGATTGTTTCGTCTACTGCACTGTCCGAATTCCTCATCCCATCTAAAAATACTCCGGCACGCATATGTCTGCATCTCATATTAATATATCCCCAGTTAACGTGCCAACATTTCAGACTTGAGCTCGATCACTCTTTTGGTGGAGATCGAGAAATGTCGTTAGTCAGAGACGTCTGCGACATGCCAACGTTTTAAATTAGCCGCGATGCTATTATTTTGTTCCACCTTCTTTTTTAATTAGGCACCGGGCTTCACGGAATACTGACGAAAAGCGTCATCGCTTCTGTCGGCGGACATTTTCGAAAACTAATCTTCCAGGATGTTACAGGTCAAACGTTGCAGTGACAAACATTCACTAACATCTTGTCAGCTTGGAGAGCGACGTTTCTAATCATCTAGTGATAGATGAACAATGTTATGGTCACTGATTTCGTACGTTTGTTCAAATCTACCATTAAGTATGTGAATATTTAGGTGTGGAAAAATAGCTGTCACAGTGGTCTGCAACTTTCAATGCATCATTCGATATGTTGTCATAGGTACAGCCGCTCTGGATACAAACATCTTGCTTCTGTCTTCAAAATCGTAATATTCGAGAATCCATACCGACACTTAAGAGAGGAGTTAAAAAACGTCAAGTATGGACACTCAAAGTATCAGAACAAGAATTAACACAAATTGAGATTTACAATATTATATTTTTTTTCAGAACGTACCATTTAAGCCGTTCTCAATCGATATTTGTTCAGGAGCATACAGTTACAAATATTTTCACAGCGCTAGTGGATACCCGGGATGTATAACGCTTGTGGCAAAACACTGTATATATATACAGGGTGGCGCATCCAAAACGAAACAGACGCATTTACTGGCACCTCAGTTTTTTTTTAAAAAACGCTCAGACCCGTCGATATTGTTTTCGAGGGGGACACAAGTTTGGCAAAAAGTCACGTTAGCACGTGCAGCCCCCTAAACGGGGGTGACACCACCCCCAAAATCTTAAATGGAAAGGGGGGTCGAGTGATACCTTATTTTAAAGGTCTTTATAATCCCTTTATAATGATATAAAATTAATGTACTTCAGTTCGGTAGTTTTGAAGATTTATTGATTTAAAGCTTAAATAAAACTAATACATCATCATTAGTGGAGATCAATACATTTGGCAGCAGAGTAATTTAAAAATGAAGCATGAACTGACCCGTTAGGTAAGTAAATGTTGAAAATGGCCACCATGACTCTCCATGCAATAATAAAGATTTTGCTCAAAACGTTGCCGCACATTTTGCAATATTTGAGGAGTAATTTGAAGGCACTCATTCACAATTCTTTGTCGCACGTCTTCTAATGATGTTGGCTGAGTCGCATAGATTTTGAGTTTTAAATGACCTCACATAAATGAATCCAAAGGTGATAAACCTGGCGATCTTGGAGTCGATTTAATGGCACCTCTTCTACCAATCCATCGATCTGGAAACGTCTGATCTAAATATTGTCGAACAGGTAATGCGTAATGTGGTGGGGCACCATGCTGTTGGAACATCAACCTATTCGCAATGTACCGCCGATCATTCTGATTTTCAATTATGGCTGTTAATGCAGGATCTATCGCGTCTTCCAGTAATTCCAAATACATTTCACCGGTCAAATTTACAGGTAAGACAAAATGACCAACTAAATGATCGCCAAAAATACCATTTTTGTGGCTGCTGTGTAACTTATTAAGTTTCTACCAGTACGAAAAAAAAAACGGAAATTATATACTCATTTGATAAATTAAGCTGTCCCTTGAATCTTCTTATGTCCTTTGATAAAATTATGGGCGCCTATTGTTCCTAGCACTAGGGACATAACCATAAACAGTTTGAGGTGGAATACCATATGCTAAGTAGCCGACATTAACTTGAGCGTTTTATTAGAACAAGGCTTTCGCTTTGACAATATTTTCAAATTACTTCCGGAGCATCTAGATAAAGTTTTTACCTATTCATATATAATATCATGCTTGATCTTGAATTCAACATATCTTCTTCTCAAAAAGTTTCTTTGAAAAAATCGTATAGCGATTCTCTTCATTAAGCACATTACTTTCTTATGCCAACATTTCTTGTTTATACAGACAGCTACTGTCAGGCCCAAGAAACTGAATTTGCCCTCAAGCATTTAGGCAAGATAAATGGACGGCTTTTTATATTGAATATAACCAACAACAATAGTGTAACCACGTAAATAGTATATACCTAATTGTTACAGTAAGTTGGCATTGATAGAACCTAATTTTTGATAGGCTGTCGCCTCTGGTAATACTATATCTATGATGAGGGCAGCCTTGAGCATTGAGGATTAAGCACCAAGCTAAGCATACACAACAACCTATCCAACCTTAACGGAAAATATCCGTACGCAATTTTTTCCCAATCCAGTCTCCGCCATGCTGGACCGTGTAATCGGTTTTTTTTGTTTGTAGCCGCGTTCGAAAAAAATACGGCGTATTATTTACGAGTGCAGAGTGTACGGCTGTGCTCGCACCAACGTGTTTACCACTTTTTTGTCGGATTTGGAAAGCACTGCCGCTACTAATGAAATCAATTATTTATACCGAATTCCAATAAAGTGTGTTGTTGGTGCCGGTGCGCTGCAGAGACGGACCGACAGACGCAGCCAGGCCAAGCCGGTGGGTGTTTCGATGGCAAATTAAAGCCACATGGTGTCGAGTCGCAATGTTTGAAAACGTGGATATATTTCTGGTCTGTTATTTTTTATGGTGCATACATAAATACACTGACAAAGATGCAGACGGAGATCGTTTATTTTACGATTCGCAAAAAGTCACATAGTGCCAAATCGGGTGAGTATGGATAATGGGTAGTAGACACACCTCACTGGTTTGACGGAGAAAGAACGTTACTGACACTTCCGTGGAATCCGATCTTCATGTTCATAATTGGAGTAGGAAAATAGTAACTCCAAATAAATGTAAATGCAGCAGATGGTGTGCGTTCTAAAGTTTGGCGCCCGGAAGTGATCATGTTTGTTATGTGTGTTCTGTTTTAATCCATTGAACCAATTTTTTCAAATACTAAAAAACTGCCTTGATGAATCTCAAATACGAAAGCAGTCATTTATTTTGTTATCCAGTATCCTCTACTACAAAATGATGAAGATAGATATTCAGGTATAAGCACGGTTCCACCTTTATTTTTTACGATTTGTTTTAACTACGGTCGCCTTAAATGTCTTATCTTAAATCTGCAAACTGCTCGTTAGGATTGAAACCCAAAGTCACCCAAAAATCATCGAATCCCAGCAGGTAGCGCACAACAAAACGAATAAATACCATTGGGACGTTGTGCAGAATGACCCTTCCTAGAAGCCAGAACGTTTACAGGGCGGTTACACAGAAATCTCCAGACAAAATTTAACGTCTGTCAATGTTACTCATTATTTGGCTAGCTTAATAGAATTAGTGGTAGCATTAAATATTTTAGTATAGTTATAGAAAGTCCATAATTTTCTCTGTTATATACTAACAATGATTAATGTATTCTCCAAGAAGATGTCCAACCCTAAGCTATACTTAAACTTTTACATCCTATTTCCAATGTCATAGCCTTGTCGCCAACTAGGATCGCCATACTTCCATTAAGACTAATAAAAACAACGCCATTGCCCTTGTAAAGAAAATAGCTTATTCTTAAATATGACAACATTTTCAGAGAAAAGATCACCCCTCAAATTTCTCGTAATAATTCCTAAGACAGGTTATGGTGGCCGACAAGTATATTCTAAGCGTAAGTGGTAGGCAACGTCGCGGTAGGTATAATTATTTCCGGGCAAGCACGGCTTTCAAATGGATTTAAAAATCTTCTTATGGAATATGTTACTCAATAATGCACTACTCATCTGTGGAGCAAAACAAAAAACACAATTTCGTACGGTACCTTAAAACATAATTTTCTTAATTGAGAGAGCTTTTGTGCTAGATTAGAATAAAAAGTAATGTATTTTATACAGGGCCTTGAGAATTCCATAACTGGAAAGGCCCATATATCAATTCCACATAATGTGAGAAACATTCCACCCACTCCCAAGTAGTTTGTTTCAGAATCAAATCATTTAGAATCTGACGCACATTAAATCATTCCACCAGAAAGAATTTCGACGGAATTTTTCAGCACCCCAGGCAATTTAAACGTCCATCTGACGATCCAAACAGGAAAATTGACATCCAGCCCCTATCAAAATTCCACCTTTTCAAATTAAAAGTTGTTATTACCCGCCACTCTAATATATATATTTATCTAAAAAATTACTAGTTATGGGATTTACCATTTAGTGCGGGCTGTAAATCATACCTGCCTTGGACGCTGCCAACGCTAACAAAAGGCTGCTAGCAGATCAGGTAAGAATTTAAGG